ATGAGAGGATCCACCTATCTGCAAAAGCTTAGGGTTACAAACCCCCCCCCCACACACACACACACACACCCTAGGGGTAAAAAAAGGGCTGGCATAGTAACCCGAATTAGGAGCTCATTTCATCATGGTATCCACCCATTAAAATTAAAGGAAGCTGCCTTAGGCGTCCCTGGAGTAGCCGATGTCCAACAGCAGCTTTGTGATGCTACTTTCACTGGCTTCGAGGTGGGGGCTTTGTGGTGCGGGAAGGGGGTTTGTGAATAGGGATTATCTATAGAACATAAAGAGTTTAGGCTCAGGTCTCTGATTTCATCCCTCATGTAACATTTTCAGTATACCAATAAAAATATATTCTGTCTGTGCAACTCTCTTCTTATTACAACCTGAATACTTTTAAATTAAATCTTAAGTCTTTCCTCTGAGTTCTACTTTTGAGACACAAATTAACTTACAACTTTGGCAATGTACTTCATTTTTAAAAAGAAATAATGTATAAATATAGATTTTTATGATGATTTTAAATTAATTCGCCTTCATGATTTTTCCAGTATATTTAAAATTAATAATAATAGCTTCAAAATGTGTGCTGATTCAGTAAGAGACTAAACAAATATTCTGATGTTTAAAGGATTAAAAAAACCTTGTTAGATTAAAACCTTGTTAGATTAAAACCTTGTTATTTTACTTTTTAGCTTCGTGCACACAATTTGATTCCTACCAACCCCAGAGCGAAAAGACACAAGACACATAAAATAAAGTTTAATCAAGGGCCACTACCACCTGTACCAAGCAACATAACCGCAAGCTACACCAACATAGAGCATGTTACATGTAGTGAAACCATAGGAGCGAGTCAAGAAATACCAAATGAAGATTGTTATGTAGCAATGAGCATTAAAGAGAGAGCACAAGAAGTCAAACTGAGACCAAAAAGTGGCTGTGGAAACATAGGTAGGAGGGTGACATCTCCTGTTCGCAGGAAAACTGTCTCAGATCTAGATTATGAGAAAAAGTATAGATATTTGCCATATATTGATGATCCCCCGTATCATGATCTTAAGGTACACCCGCATCTCTCCATCTTAAAGTGATGATAATTTTAATAGGGAGACAATGGATTCTTAGATTCAAGGTATTAAATTCTTTCAAGTTAAAAACAAACTTGAAATATGCTGCATAATTTTTATTTTGAAAAACCCAACTTCATTCTTCATGCATAAAAGAATATTATTTATTATCAATTCGAATTTTTCTTTTTATTGAATAGTCAAAAAAAATTAATATCAAAGCTTTTGTGGCATACATTTTTATTTAATCCAAAATTTATAATATAAGGCCTTTAATGATATCATTAAGGAAGCTTTACATAAAATGAACAGCTGAGATAGTTTATGGTAAAAATCAACTAAATCCTGCCTTTTTCAAGACGAATTATTTCAAAGTTTGTACAAAAATCTTTTGTCAAAAGGTTAATATTTCAACCACAAAGAGCAGTGCTTTTCAAACTACCTGCTGCTGGGATAAGATTTCGTACATTTCTTATCAAAATAATATTCCAGAATGGCCAAATGCAGTCTGAAGTTCCATTTTCATTTGAAAATTTTGGAGATCATCTTTCTCATAGCTATATTAATCTCTCTTTACATTTATTTAATAAATTAAGTTAAATATCCAGTATCATATTTTCTTAATTTCATTTTTCTTCACTGCCATTAATTTGTTTTAAAATGTATCTGTGCTTAACTTAATTATACAAAATAATAAAGACTATAACTGCTATTTTACATAGGCAAAGGAATTTTTTTTGTGTGTGCTCATTTTGATTCATCACAATAATGCATTTTTATTTTATTTCTAAAATATCTTGAAAGGATTTTAGACCAGATAAAAATGTTTGATATTGTCATGATGGATGTTTTGAAGAATAATTACTTAAGTACCAAAAAAAGAAATGTGTTAAATGAATATTTCTAATTTGATAAAGTTACTATATACTAATGCAAATTACACTAATGATTGACTCTTGTAAAGAGAAGAGGCAGAGCATGGACAATGGCATGTAGGAAAAACAAAAAATTTAAAAATATAACTTGTATTTTTTTTAATTACAATATACAGCATGGGCTAAAACTAGCAGTAATGAAACTCCCTCATTTTGAACATGTATTTGACTTTATCAACCATGCATAGCTCCATTTGCAATGTGAGCATAGAAGTGAAAACAATTATATCTTGGGCAGTTGTTTTTGGAGATGGGTCACTCCAAGGAAGAAAAAATATTCAAAGTTGAGCATTATTTTTTCTCAAATGTCAATAAACGTAAATCGTGACGTGAAAAAATTTGTAAGAAAAATTCAGGTAGGGATTTTTAAAAAAGAAGGCACCAACTAACATGGTTGTGGAAAGTTACTCTGTCAACAGAAAGGGAAATAGGATCGATTAGGAAATTAGAGTGACTTTCCTTAGAGAATTACGCATTCCTATCAAAACTGGAGACAGAAATTTCCGCATCCTTGTTCACAGATTTGGCTCCATCAAGTGTTGTCCAACCTGCAGTCAGTGTGAAAATGTATTTATGTTCTTAAACAATCGAGGAATGTACATGCTAATTTTCAGTTTGAAAGATGTTCCTGGTAGATTTCTTAGGGGTGAACACAGCTCCTTCTGGAGAAACGGGCTTGATTCTCTTATCGAAAAATTTACTGGTCAACTAGAGTTTAAGTTTTGTTACTTTTGGGACAAAATGTACATGCCAATAACAACAATAACCAAAGACAAAATTTGATGTGTCCTGAAAGGTTTTAGTGCATTTAAAAATTGAACGTTTATTCCTTTGTTTAAGTGCTTCAAATAAATGTATTATTTTGAAAATATAGGTAATGCATTGTTGATGTTCAAGTCCATTGGTGCATTTCATTAATCTCAATGCTTTGATTTTAAATACTTAAATATGTAAATAGTGTTCTATGTCATCAAATAATGCAAATAAACACACATTTTTCTTTGAAATGTACTCAGTTTTATTGAATATCATCCTTTTGTTTCTCCAACATTGCAACATATAATGGAAAAATTGACCTACGCCTGTAAGGATAGTCATGTTATAGCAAATATCAACATATATATAACAAAAATTTTGGCTTTTTGTATAAATGTATAATGAATAAATGCCTTGCATCTAAAAAAAAATCTTGAAAAAAAAAAGTCCTCTGTATTTCAAGATTTTTTTTGTTTATAGATGCAAGGCATTTATTCATTATGCATGTTTTGTATAAATGTATAATGAATAAATGCCTTGCAACTAAAAATCTTGAAATACAGAAGACATTTTTTTTTTAAAATTACAAGGCACATAAAATGACAGGAATCTTAATAAAGTTAAGAATCTCTTATAAAACTAAATATCATTAACTCTTAAGTTTTACATATGAACAATTATAAGACTTGTTTTTATTAAGAGAAATAATACTTTTTCAGTTCAGTAAAGAGATATTGCCACTCTTAAATTTACATTGAATTTACTTTAATATATTTACATCAACTAAGTCTAATGAAGACAGTCAAGTGATTAACATCAAATGTTAACAATTTTCATCAGCTTAAGCATGATCCTCACTCAAAGTGTTTTTTTTTTGGAATTACATGACATTTAGACTACCTATTTACACAGAAAGGGTTTTAAAATTCATGCGAAAATTATGAATGTATCGGTTAAGTAACACAAATCATGGAATGTAAATTATGTAGATATCAAATTTGTTGCATACAATTTTGAAAGAAAAATTGTAAAACCTACAAAACTCCTAAGAAGTTATGCAAGAAATTTAAGTAATTTAGTCAGTGGATACTTTTTAAACAAACAAAATTCTTTTAAAATCATATTTTCTTGGCATAATTTTACATAAATTATGTTCAACAGCATACCATGATAATTTTAAACATTACTTTGTCAGCCTACATATTTTAATAATGCACGAAAGTAAACATTTAAAAAAATACCTTGTCAAATTTTAAAATATTCTGCAAAAAATCAATTATCCTTAAGCCTTGAAATATTGGGTCTGACTACGATACATATAAATCATCTTCTGCACCAAACTCCAGTAGAAGAGAATTCATTTGATTTTAAGATAATATAATGACAGAACTGTGATAGAAATGAATGACACCCACTCTTCTGTGTTCGGTGTAACAACTGATTTTTATTCTACATTATACACTCTTTTTATACTTCACCTTCATGATTCCTCATTCCACTTTTCCATGCATTTAAGTTTAAAACATTCATGAATAAAAACAACTCACCACATCCAGTCACACCACACAACAATAACAGGCCAATCAGGTCACAAAGTTTACTCACAATAATAATCCTTAGTCATACATACTATCACATGAACTATAAAGCTTCTCTATCCTTAACACATGTTGGTTGTAAGTATTTTGTTATGAAACATAAAAACATTTATGAATGGAAGACTTGTATGAAGGAATGGAAGACTGGGTTGAAGGAATGGAAGAAGGAATGAGAATGTTTTCTTAATGCTGAGTATGGGGAATGTTATTACAAGTTCAACGTAAGAAGTTATTTCCTATTTGAGGATACTGCTAGAATCAGATTTGTCATGTTAAAATGACATCCCATGTCTCTAGTCTTGAAATGTCTTTATGACAGACAAGTGGCTAAATCCAGGGCATCAAAGTTAACATGGCTCGACATAAATAAATAAATTGGCTTAGAAATGAGTGAAATTTATTTTTAAGGTGTTGGAAAATCTAAGGGGCTGGGAGGGGGGGGGGGGGGTGTGGGACTTCCCAAAATAATGATGATAATAATTTTATCCAATAAAAGTTTCCAACTTTTGGATTATGAAAAATAAATGTACTTAACAGCACATAAGGTTTTCTCAGAATTGGATTATTAAGTAATTATTTCCAGGAAGTAAAATATTCATTCAATGATTTTGAAGAATTTCTGAATTACAGAAATTATTATTTGCTGTTTATTACAAGATTAAATGTCAATGGCTTAAAACATTCAATATTTAATACATTTTAATCAATTTTAAAGAAAAGCTGGCTCAACTAAAAGGAAAATTATTACTGAAAAAACATCAGCCTTAAAAGAGGCTCACATTAAAATTTAGTCTAAAAAAAAAGTACGTTTACAAACACTATGAGGGTGACCTGTTTTCCAAAGAACTATATTGTTGTCTTGACTTCTCACGACAGGTGCGCCAAGGCTGAGCGAAGAGTTCCTCCACCTCCTCCAGCTTACACCCCTTTGTTTCAGGCAAACAAACACCAAAGAAAACTAATCCTAAGATTGCAATCCCAACAAAAAGCCAATAGGTTCCTGATGGGAAGAAGTTAAATCACTTTATCACATTACAACTTATTCAATTGTAGCTTATCAAATAATATTTGCTTTAAAATATCACTAAATTACAAAAATATATAAACTCAAGAAAACTACAATAAACACGCAGAACTTATAAAGATCTAAAGGAATATGATGTTTTTTGTCATCAAGAATATTATAGGAATGATTACTTTAAGGGGAAACAACTTATTTACTGTCTTGAAAATATCAAACTCATCTTAAAAGTTAAAAACGTGAAGAATAATAAGTCTCTCATTAAAAGCATGTTTTAAATGAACAAAAGGGGCAACACCATAATCAGCTTCAGCTTCTACCTATCGTACTTGGCCAGAGTTTCAGTAAAAGACAATATGAACAGCTACAGCTTCTACTTCTACCTACCGTACTTGGTCAGAGTTTCAGTGAGAGTTAAGAATGTCATGGAAACTATCAAATTAGAAATCCAGTTTGTTGCAGCAGACAGGGAATTCCCTGTTGATCTTGCCCAAATCGGGTAGATTTCTGAATTTATCGTCCAAGGCATTGGACCCATTCCTTAAATTAAAGAAGAATATTATAATTTTTTAAATTGTAATTTTTTTTGAAATTATTAAAACAATAATTAATTACCTTTCATTAAACTTTATCCACATAAGATTGAGTCACAGCAATTAAAAATGCAATTAAGTAAATTTGACTATATAAACTAGAAATATGAGTACTACTATTTGACTGATACAGCTCTTATGACAACATTCACCTGGTGCAAAAAACATTAGGTACAAGACCAGACCAAAGATGGCCATCCAAGAATATGAAGTAGGGCAATAGTCATAAGCCCATAATACTCCTGATAAACTTGTATTTTGACATTCTCCATAATCTGAGTGGTCATTTTCTTTTGGATCTGTGACTAAGCATGATCCATTTATGGATGATCCACTTCCTGTGTAACAGAATCCACAGTTGGCATTCTCTATACAAGATTCACAAGATCTGAAAGTAAAAAAACCAGTTTAAAAGAGGATCATTTAAAATATATATATTGTAAAATTAAAAGATCAAAATAATAATTTGGTTACTTATCATTAAAGTAATGAAGTCAAATTTGGCAATTAAATTAATTTGTCCATGGCTTCATTAAATGTTTCCTTGAACTCTTAGGATTCAATAATATCAATCGACTCAAATATAACAAATTTGTGAACATTTTTAGGATCTATTTTTTACTCCATGAAAACAAAATCAAAAGAAGATACTGAAATTAATTGTGGTTTAAACTACTATTAAAAAATTATCATGTGCCCTCAGCTATAAAGCGAATTAGCAAAAAGCTAGTAAATATTGTGCAATGATGTTTTAATTTTACACAATAATGAGCCAAGCAAATCAGTTTAAGAAAATCCCTATTTTTCCATTAACTGAAAAGCATTAAAAAATTTAATTCACTAAAATATTCTAAAAAATTTTTTATAATTTTTCAGATCAGATCTATAGAAGCCTGCAACATATTTTAGTAAGATCTCTACAGAAGTTTACCTATACAATGAACATGTGTTATTATTTGAAGGTTCAATTGTTCTTGGGAAGATTTCTGGTGAATTGAAGGCTGCCAACTGGAAGGCTACTGCAAGCACAACTAAACTGACTATAACTCCTGAAGAAAATAAAGAAATGACAATAAGATCAGAACATATTATAACATACCTTATTTTTCTATTGACTTAATTGTTGCATGTAAGTCTTTAAATTTCTTTAAAATTTAAACACAAAAGTCTTGCTGAAGAATGTATATGGCTAAAAGGTTATTTTGATTGTCCTCTCTTTTAAAGATTTAACATATCTTGTTCTACTGCTGCCTCCATTACTTTTTTTAATGTTAAATATCTAAAATGATATATAATTCTGTTAAAAGTATTAATTTATTGCAGTAAATTGTTAAAAATTTGATTTCCAATTATAATGTTTCCATGTAAAATTTTAAGTCATTGATTCCATTATTTATTTAATATACCGGTATTATTTTTAGGCTGCAGGCTGCGATTTAAAGATATGAGCTTACAGCAAATACTAAGCCACAACATTTTCTATGTTTACTAAGCAATTTTTAACAGTGAGATTATTTTGAAACAAAATGTTTTTAATTTAAAGGCGGGCATCTTAAAATGAACCTTTTAGTTTTGTGTTTGTCTAATTTATATTTACCTGTAAGACTTCCCATTATGAGTTTTTTCCTTCCTATCTTTTCCACTAACCAAACACCAACAATTGTGAAAAGGAAGTTTATTCCTGCAGTGAGTGCTGCAAGCCAAATAGCCGTCTGCTGGTTACTCACTCCAGACATCTTTATTATCGTCGCACTGTAGTACCTTTAAATAAAATAGGTTCAACTGCTTATTATGGCAAGTTAATATAAATGACTGATTATTAATTAGTGTCATCAAGATTTAAAATTAAAAACAAACATATCAGAAAATGTACTTTAGTGAGTTAAATAACTAAAAACTAGGAAGAAGTCTAATCCACACTATTTGAATATCTTCGTACATTACTGTATTTATTCCACTAAGCTGTTGGAACAACTGAAGCCCACACCCGACAATTAGAGCTCTTCTTACTGAAGGTGTTTTCAAGATTCTTACAAAGGTATTGCCATCTGGAGTTAAATGTTTAAACAATTAAAAAAAGTAAAAACAAATTTAGAAAATAAAAATGCTAGAATCAAGAGTTTTAATTAATCATGTTGTTCATTTGTGTATATTTAATTAAATTTTTCTTCCCTGCAAATTCAGTTTTTCATGTTTTGGCATATTCCATAAAATAAAACTCAAAGAAAAATTATTTTGTCTGCATAGAAGAAAATGCATTTGAATTTTTTATTACTGTTACCAGTAGCTTGAAAAAAAGTTGACCTAAATAATATGAGAGTTTAGTGGCCATCAGGCTGCTTAAATCAGTTGTTTGAAATAAGTTCAACTCTAACTCTAACAAAATTATTCTTTGCATCAATTTAAAAAAAATTAAAATAATGTGCTGAATTTTTTTAATGTTCTGTATCCTGTCAAGTTGAACCATGGTGTGAAATGCTTAGTCTGTGGCATTGTACATAAACCATACAGGGCATCAGTTGGCACCCTGCATGTTTAAGTCAAGATAACGATGAAAATCCCATAGGAAGGAAGCATAGAATTGCCAGGGGGGCATTACAGCTGCTACACTGCAGTGTTATTATTTGTAAAATATTGTATAGCCATTTGTCAAGATTATACAGTTGAGTAAAGTCAATAATAAGTATCAAGAAACTGTATATTGAACTGAATGCATGTTAATGATATTTTAGAATTGTGAATTTGTAGTTGTTACCATTTTTAAGCATAATTGCTTTAGTACACAGTGTAGTTAGAGGATATGACTCTAGACAGAAGCCATTTTGAAACCAAAAAAAAAAAATCCTAAATGGCTAAATGGATGAAAAATGTTTAAGTTATCAAATGGAGAAAATGTAAAAATATGTACTGCAATCAACGCGTGGAAGTATTCCTAGAATGAATAAACCATATGTTATTTTCTAAAACTATTAATACTACCAAAAACAACCTGTAAGGCAAAGAAGTTTCCACTAAGTCACATTATTAGCATTGGCCAGCTAAGTTTTAACAGAATCTCCAAAGATTTGTTTACCTTTATTGATATGAACTGACTCCATTTCAGCAGTCTGTTTTATTTCCAGAATTTCAGTCTCCACATGTGGAGTGCCACGTAATTTTATGAGTATTTCTAATGCTTCTTTTTCTCTTCCTTTGCTAATTAACCAGCGAGGGCTTTCAGGTAAAAATATAAATCCACAAAACTGTATCAATGAAGGCAGTCCTGCCAATCCAAGCATGTATCTGTCCAATGGATAAACAGTACAGGTACATAAAAAATGTTTACATTTAATAAAACTTTATAAATGTAAAGGTAAAGGAAATACTGGTAAAATGTATTATTATTAACCTTATAAGACTATTTAACTATTATATGTAAAATAAAAGCAGGTTATAAATAATAAAATTTGGGTCGATTTCATTTACAAACATTATTTCATTAATTAACTGACTTTCATACACATATCTCTTTCACAGAGTCAAAATTGTAAATCATAAATATGGGAATTTATTTTTAAGATATTGCCTTAAAAAATCATGACGTGATCAAGCATTAAAAAAACAAAAACATAAACACCCTGAAAATTTGGAATCATTTATTTTATAGGACATTATACTAGTTATAAAGCTTTTGTAGCTCTATAGTTTCTAGGCAGAGACTGAGAGATTTTCATTGAGATATTCAAACACAAACATTTTTAATTTCTAATTATTTGTTGTTTCTCGTTTCGTCTTGTCTGCTGAAGAAGGTTTCAGCCAAAAAAAACTATTAATTGTCCTGTTTTTTTTTTTTCAAGGCTAAACATATCTTGTTCCACTATTTATTCATAAAACTTGTGACATCATTTTTTTTAATTGGAAGGCAGAGCAAATTTCCATAGGTTCAAAAAATATTTGATAACATAACTCTATTGCTAATGTGTTACATCTTCTTATTAAAATGTTACAACAAGAGGCTAACAAAACGACTTTCAAAGTTGTACCTCCAACCATCAGGTTTTATGTAACTAAATCCTCCATCCATTGTGCTTGCAATGAACTGGCCACCAGTAATGAATAAAGTATTTACAGTGACCATGCGACCTCTAAGATGGACCGGGGCACTTTCTGCTATGTAAACTGGTATCGTCATAGATGCAAAACCTTAAGAATAAAAATTCACTTTTATCAATATAAAGAAATCTATTCCACTTTTTAAAATTATAAGCAAAAATTGATATACAAAGGATTAAATTACTAATTCAGTTTTCAGACTTTTAATCTGCTGATTAAGATGTTAGGAGGGTTACCTATTATTAATTACATGATGGGTTAATTTTATTTGGAAACTATACAGTCTATTGGAAGCTAAATACTTAATTTTGTATAAAAGATACAGTTGTCTTAATGTAAAATATTATGGAAATCACTACTACAACTAATATACATCATTGACATATTCAAACTGTTGCTCAACACTCATCAATCAAATATTAACCAAAATATTACAATATTTTTAAAACTTAGACTCTATGTCATGAATAGTTATATAAAACTTCAAAATGTTTAACTGCATTTCATAAAACATACCTATTCCAATGCCTAGAATTACTCTACCAATCACCAACATGGTAACATTTGAGGCAAATGCTAAAACAACAGCACCAGCAGTAAAGACAAAACTTGCTACAAGAGTCACTGGTTTCCTCCCAAATTTGTTGTTAAGATATCCTCCAATAAGAGCTGATAAAAATGCAGAGCCTATAGTAACACTGACAATAACCTCTTGCCAAAATGATGACAAAGAAAATTTGTCTTTAAGCAGTAACATTGCACCAGAGATGACGCCTGTGTCATATCCAAACAAGAATCCTCCAATAGCTGCAAATGATGAAAGTAACCAAACATAAATTGTTGATTTTCCTGTTGAGCCATGTCCAAACTTCTTATTTGAAATAACAGGGCTTGTGTAAATAGTATTTTCATTATTAAGGCTGTCAGAATCTGAATCACACTCAACAGAATTAGAAGACAAGACTTTAGAATTAACACATTGTGAGGATGTTGGCCTGATTGTTGGTGAGCCAATAAGTTTTGTGTCCTCTGAAAAGTTTGACATCATTAGTTCCTCAGCCTCAATTTCTAACTCATGGTCTTCATCTGATGAAAACATCTGAAGCTATATATATGTAGTCTGTACTTTAGTCCAAATAGATAAACTCTGCAATACCATAAATCATTAACTTTAACAATTAATACAAGGTTAGTTAGTATTATTTGATAGGAATGATAGGCTTGTTTGTTGGTGTTAGATTCATGACTTAAATTATCTTTGAACTTAAGATTTAATGTAAAAAGAATAATTAATTTAAATCATTTAATTTAAAAACATGGCAAGAATTTTGTTATTTTGATTTGTGTTATGGGAATGCTGTGAAATTGATATGTCAAAGGAGCTGTTTAGTTTATTGTGGAAATGCCATAACATAAAAACTTATTTGATACAATCAGATTTTTATAATTTATAGCCTTCATAAACTAAAAAGATGATAGGGAATGAATTTCAAAATGTTAAATGTTTTAAATTTTATAAAAAAGCAATAATTAGAATTAGAACAATGTTAATGTTATTAAAATTAATGTCATAGTCATGTAACTAGGTCCTAGGTGGTGATCGCCCGGGTGGCCGTTTTGGGGCTTATAACTTATAATACTAATAGATATCATTATATAAATAATATTTGTGTGTGTGTGTGTTAGTTAGGGCCTAGTGGGTGTGTTAGGGCCAAGTGGGTGTGTTAGGGCCTAGTGGGTGAGGGGTGCACTTTTTTTAGAAGGTCTAATAAGAAGTAGTACTGTACTACAGTCTGTACGGTATGACTATGAGTTTGAGTACTATGACTAATACTAATACAATCAAACGCAACTTCGTAAGCCAAAAATGTTTAACTTTAAATCAAAGAAGCTTAGCAAGGCCTACTGATTGATAATGTCACATTTATAATTTTTTTATTATTAATGAACTAAAACAAAACGGTTCAAGTTCAAGTACTAAAAAAATATAGCATAATATATAATAGGGTAATAATAGACTACTACTTATACTTATACTATGCTAGTCTAATAGTAAATCGACCTATTAACCTTCACAATATAAAAATAATATTATTATATAATTATAGTTATAGCGTATTATATCAACTATATCTCTTATTTTTAACTATTCAGCAGCTTGGTCAGAAGGCAAGGTTTAGAGGCTAATTAATAAAGTAATAGATTAGTTTTTAATAATAATATTATGACTCAGTTCATTAGAGTGTTTATTATTAATTTAAAGAAAGTAAAGTTATAATTAAAAGCATTTGACTTTGATTTCATTTTTAATTTTCACAGTCCCACCCTTCCTGCCGACTCCCGGGTGTCAATAACTTAATTAATATTAATGGATATACAATAGTAATATATTAATTTATAATTCTGATACCTCTTCTAAACGACTGATCTACTTTTTTTAGTCTTATACTTTTAGTGTAGGCTTAGACTTAGAGTTAAGAGTAATTTAGACTTTGTCATGAGTCAAGTGACAAGTGGTCTTAAAATTAAAATAAAACTTAAAGTCTTAAGAGTTAAGAGATTTCAATTGAGTTTTAGTTTTAGTAATTTTAAATTTTGATGATTAGAAGATGTTGGTACATAGTAGAAATAAGTATTATTTTTATTTTACTGTGCATATATTTTGCGTTAAAATTTTAACCACTAAAATGTATTCATTAATAAGAATGTATCATTTATTAGTTAATTTTTTTTTATTCACATATGATTTTAGTCAAATCCAGGTTTTGAAGTGACCTTCACAATTCACAACAAACAAAATGGCAGGTGTACACAAACTTGTAAGTTTATCTCTATCCTGTGATGCTGTAGCATATATATGTATATGAAAGTGAACTTTATATAACATTCCATTTGGGACAGGGGGCCCCGAACTCGTTTTTTTTCTTATATGAGCTATATTAATAAATGAACAACAAATACTCCTACATGAATAGATGGATATTGAGGAAAGCTAGGGCCGTCGTTTATTGTCATATTAAAGTACCGACCGAAGGTTACTGAACTCATAATATTCATTCTTCTGGGTCCGGGGGCCCCATTTAATTTTTCCATATATAAGTTATAAAACTATCAATAGGCTTAGACAATACTATATAGTATAGGTGCGAAGTGCAGAAAACAGAGAGAATGGAGGATAGTTTTCATGTCATCTGTGGCGCCCCAATGGTCCAAGGCACCAAGGACTAAGGATAGGTACTTTGACACACATTTTAAATATTGTCCAATAGCCACAAATGATACACCATTTTAAAGGGCTCGCTATAAGCTTTGCAAAAACACCAATTTCATCTTTCTATCTTTTATGGAAAAAAAGTTATGATTTTTTTGGTGAATTTTTTAACCCCTTTATTTATCTTTGTATTTAACGAAAAAACTTGTGACCAACTTTCCACATTTCTGCTTTATTTTGTCCACAACTTTTTTATTTTAAAAGATAATGCTACCAAACTTTCAGGAGACATTCTCAATGCAATATACAACACAATAAACAACAAAACTTTTATATAACATCAAGACTTTTATTTTTTTATATATTTAATCGAGGGTATGTTCAGAAAAAAGTGAACAGAAAAATTGGGAAAATCATTATTTATACAGGAAAAATTGAAAAAAATAACATGTTTATTGAATTTTAACTAATTTTATTATGCTTGTGTTAAATTTTAAATCATTATATTTATAAAAAGGTAAGTAGTCTTTTTTTATATATAAAATTGAACGCATGTAATTATATATAACAAATACTAATATCACCCATAAAACTAATTACAAGCATACCCTTATCGGAGTATGTCATTAAATATTAAAAGGTAATGGGGATCTTCTGCCTGCCATTTTCCGGGTAGAATGCCCTACAGTGACTTCTTTGTCTTGTTGATGAAACCCACACATTTTTCCTTCATAAACTTTGTCGCCGCCATCTGCATCCAAACGTTCCGCCTTATTGGATATGGGCCATGGAAGGAATTCCAAAGTTTGCAACAGAAATGTAAAATTTTCTCTTCCACCCAAAAGAAGCCTAACATTAAATACTAATCATAATTCTGAATCTATACAATTTTTTTGTTTCTTTTTAATATTATTCAAGTGATGTTTTTATTAAATTTATTTCCTTTTTTTTGTTTTGTTTATTTAATTAGAAATATATTATTCTTATTTATTTATTTATTTTAATAAACTTGTTATAGACTAATTCATAGGTTATCTAATTTTAATTTTAAACAAGTCACAGTCACGCAATTTTCACAAAAAATATATCATATGTACGAAAAAAAAAATAATTTTATAATGCATTACCATATTTTATTGGAATTACAATTGATAATAGTATATTTTTAATAGTGGTAGCAACTGCTTTTATTTTGTTATTATCATTAATTATAATTTATAAATACCACTAATAACTAGCATTATATATTATAGTAGTAGTATTACTACTACTACATATAATAATTATATAAATCAAGGGACAAAACAAGTCCGAAATTCACCGGACTACACGAACTACAATTATTTAAAATTATTTAATTTATTAAGTTGTACTACTTTCTAATAATATTGTAAAACAGTTTTCCCTTTATTAACTAATTAGTCTACCACGGATTATCAAAGATGAACTATAATGAATAAATGAAAATATCTTTAAGTTAAATTGGTAATAACAACCATTTCCGACAACCCACTTTTTTTTGTGAGGGGGGATGACTCGGGTGACTACTAACAATTTTATTTTCTTACACCTTCCAGTTGGATCGGCATAACTTTTGTGCGTTTGGGCTAATTTTAATGAAGTAAAGTTATTAAACTGTGTGAATGAATGAAGCAGTATTGAGCTAAACCACTATGTGTTTGAGCTTTACATTAAAAAGTAATAAGCAATTAACGTGCATACCGATGGAAAATTAAATACGCTACCGGTCACAAGATTCTAAATGCTGCAAATATGGTATTCACATGTTTGGAAAAATATGTGCTCTACGTCACCGATAATTTAAATACTATTATTAGGAAACAGTGACGTACAACGAAAAAAAACGACACCCTCGATATGCCGTATAGCTATATTGCAGCTCAAGTTTTTTCGTGATTTTTCGACTGCGCAGAAGGGATGCGCGTGCGTCTTTTAAAATACCTACTAAGGAACATGATGATGATAGGTTCTATGTGAATTGATGAATCTAGGCCTAGCTTGGTGGCAATGCCCTTCATTGTCCGCTGGTCCGTATCAAAATAACAGTGGATTTAAAAAGAATAATATCCAATCCTTTCTGGGCCGATCCAGACTTTTCCAGAAAGTTCAATAATTTTAAAAAGGCTATATCTATGGCATTATTAAGCCGATTTTAATGAGACAACTTTCAAATCTTAACTTTATTATTTATAAATTATCGGCCTGATTTTTATAGGGTCCCCAATAGCTAAAACGGTACACTTATGAATATGGAATGGGCCCCCACTGGGGCCCCTCTTTCATCTTAAATGTACTATATTTATAGTAGTGCATTAAGTTATAATTTTTCGTATTCAAAAAAAATTACGCCGAGAAGTAATTTTTTTACATGTTCTGAGGAAGATATTAAATTTTATCTTGAATTTTCCTGAACATTCAATTTTTGCTCTACTGCAAGATATAATTGGATCTAAAAGCTTTTTGAAGTGTTAGTTTATTTCTATTCATCTCTTTACTTTCATGGGGATTTTCTCCAATCTGTCAGAAACTGAACCCAGGACACTTTCAGTTGTCTGGGAAATGTTCACTGCATTGGTCACAAATCAATTTCTACTACCCCCTTCCCCAAGGCTTCAAGTTTCATGTGACCATCCAAATGCACAGAAAAAAAAGAGGGTGGGGGGATGCCTAGAATCAATGTCAATATAATACAACCATCTGCTAAAGATTGTCAATAAAAATACACTGTAGGAAATCCATTTGAAAAGAAAAGAAACTCTGGAGGTATTTTATGCCCCAGCTGATAACATAAAAATGTATAAAACTTAGAACATTAAAAAAAATTATTTTAATGTCTGCCCCCCAAGTAGTGGGAAAAAGGAGATTTCCATGCTCCCTAAAAAAATAATTTAATTAAATTGGATTTCAATTTTGCTGTCTTTTTAGGCCCTAAAGTTTAAGATTCACAATTGTATGATAAAACTTTGTTACCAGGTAATGACATATATTTGTATTGCAATATCTGATTAACAATTTTTAAAAATATGTACATCTTGTTTTAGCATTACACTGTCAGCAACTGTCTCCTCTGCAATTTACTTTTTATTTCATATATTTGGGCTGAATTCTCCCTGGTCTTTTTTTTTTGTTGCCCTTTCCTTAAGTCTTCTGGATTTTACTTAGGAAAAATTGCTCTCCTTTAGTCATTGCTTTTGTGATTTGGTGTGATCTATGATATATCTGAAACACCCTATACTATATAGGTTGATTCCCCATTAATTAAGCTATTCCCCCATAATTTAATATTAACATTATTCTGTTGTGGATAAGACAAGCTGACACTTCCTGCTAAAGATTTCCATGAAAAGTTTTTCATTATAATCTAAAAAACTAGAATCTTAACATTTTATGTTTGATATCTTTATTTAACAGACTACAGGACTAACAGGACTTGCTGTTGCAAAGCATCCTCATCAGGTAATGTTAATATTTTTATTCGGTGCAAAGATTATTTGTGATGGCATAAGCAGTTAAAGAAGCTTTGATTTTTATTGGGTGGGGGAGTGCTTTATTCAGGAGATTTTGAGTATGGTGAGTAGGATTTCTGCGTTCGCTGGTTTTTATTTATACAGGGTATATGTGACAAAAATCACTCTCATCCTGGAACCCAATTAATTCAATTAAAAATATATTACAAATTTTATTAAACTACGAGAGTAGATTTTTAAAATTGTTTTGTTTTGCTTTTTATACTAATGAACAAAAAAACCCGGCCTATTGCTCAAAATGCAAACATACACTCAAGAACCTAAAAGCTATTCTGACCACAAAATTAACCACTGAAGGCCTTGCTACAGATCAATTTTAACGAACCGTGAAAAACTCAGAAACTTTCAAGACTGAAAACAAACTGTGCAATTCAACTGGATCAATAAAAGCATCTTATTTTGTTTTATTAAATATATCCTTAATTTCTTATTTATTATGCATAGAAATCTGGTTTAAATATATTTTCATTTCCAAAATGTTACATTTAAAACCCTTTTCTTTTTTTTTTCAATATATCACTGTAAGGGTCCCTTGGCTTCTATATGAATTTGGTGGTTATTTGAAAACCCTTGAGACCTGTGTACTAGAGTTACAGATCTAATTAATTCAGCGCAGTTAACTAGATTTTACAGTACTTGAATTATAGCAACAATCTGTGACTTTGTGAAATTTTAAAAAACAAGAAAATTGTATTTTAAAAGATTGTACCCAGTATATCCCAGGATGGGAGGATTTCCTGAGAAGTCTTTTATTTAATAAAAATCGTGTGGGATCCTTTAATAAACTTGTGAGTGGCAAGGGGTCTCAGCATAATGTGTACATACACTTATGAAAAATTCTGCCATAATTAAACTGAAATTTTGGCAGTCCATAAATATCCTTTTATATAGCCAACTTTCAACTAAAACTCTGTGAAACTGAAATCAATGATTACTTATTATCTTAAACTTAAAAGGGTATAAAAATATCACTGCCATTTGTCATAATTTTATCATCAAACTGTTAGATATCGCAACATTGATACTTAGCCTAGTAACAAATTTAGTCCACTGTGTACCTTTGTATGGATCCCTGCCTAGTTCATAATTTTTTTCATAATTATTTTGTTTGGCTGAACCAAAGATTGTTAATCAATAAAGATTTAATATAGGTTCTTGAAGTTGAATATCTACTATGCCAAACAGCCAGCTGTAATTGTGAAAATTGAAGAAAACTCATGACTTAATTTCTTGAACAGGGTTTGGGTATTTGGATTGATTACTATGTTCATCATAATTGTCCATAGAGTTTCCTCTTCAACTTCAATGGATTTCCTCCACACTAAGTTGGGCTTGCGGGAGGGGGGTTGAGTACCAAAATTATGGATGGCTGTATATAAATTAATATTCTCATATATAATTTTTTTTTTTTTTTCCGACAGACGCTTAGAGCCTTGTATTCCAAGATTTTGAGTAATTTACAGAAGATGCCAGCTAGTGCTGGCTATCGCAAACACACTGAACAGATTATCAATCAGCGTTTAGGTCTTGTTAAAGCTGTAAGTTTTTTTTTTCTATTTTTAAATCTCTCTATATTGTTCTTTTTTTCCTTAAGCTAGAAGGGAAAATAAGTGTAATGATTTGCTTCCTTCTCATTTTAGATTCACATTCACAAGTACCTTCTTTTCCATTTTTAACATTTTATTTTAGTCAAATAGATGTTTGGAGAATTAGTACAAACCAAGGGCCATATCAATTGTACAAAGACCCACCCATAGTCGCAACAATAAAAAAGGCAGACTGCACTGGACAGGAAATATTGAAAGGATGGCCGGATTGTAGAGCAGCAAAATAGATATACAGGCAGAAACCAAGGGGCAGACAGCTCACCGGTCGACCAAGACTGAGATGGATCGACGATGTAGGGAATTGAGTATTCGCGCATTGAGGCAGAAAGCCATGGATCGATCCGAATGGAAGGATGTGTTAGAGCCGGCCAGGGCTCTACATGGGCTGTATCGCCACTGATGATGATGATATGTTAATGCTCCCATTTGGTTTTTGGAAAGTAATTAAATGAAAATGGATAAATTTTCTTTTTTATTTACTCTTGGCAGGAAGCTGAAGTGATAAAGTTGGAAGAAAAAATAAACTGTGGTCAAATAGAAGAAGTAATTAAACAGGTGAAATGTTTTTTATCAATACAAGGATTCTTCTAAAATAATTAATAATATTTGTTTAAACTCTTTACTAACTGAGCGCAGATAGATTAGCTTTATTTTTTACAACTACTTTTTTAACATAACTATGAACTAAATCTTCAGAGATGGGCAACCTTTTTGTGCAGAGGGTAGCATGGATCTTTATTTATATTTAGTGGACTGCATATACGTCATATATGTCCTCATACTTATAGGTGAACTTTGAACATTCATTCTGAGTTAAGTTTACAATAAAGCAGTGGAATAATTTTTTTATATTTACTTTATTTTATTTGTGTATATAATTCTATTATACTGTTTTTCATATCTCTAGAATTTAAATTATGGTCATTTATAATTACTGCTTCTATTATGGTCACTTATAATTAGTGCTGCTATTTCAGTAGTAAACAGCGTTAAATTTTAAAATATGTTACAAACTGCCTTTGGTCTCTGTACCGTATCAAATAACACATTTTATCCTTAATAAAAAGTGCATGACATATTTGAAAAATGATCCCCTAGTATCACAGTGATCTCATTAGATTATTATTATAAAGAAAATTATTCCTTATTCAAATCAAATACTCATTACTATTAAAAATAACTTGTTCCTAGGCTGAAAGAGAACTGAGATTATCAAGAAAGATGCTTGAGTGGAAACCTTGGGAACCTCTGATTGGACAAGCCCCCCCAAACCAATGGAAATGGCCTCTTGCATAGAAAATTAAATACTATTAGAAACTTTAATGATAGGTTTTTATTTTTATTGTGAATAAGAAATTATTATGACTAGATTACAGTTTAGTAAATAAATGAATGCATGACAGTGAAGTGAGCCAAATTAAAAGTTTAAAACAGAATTGATTTTTTTCCATTGATATTTGTCAGTGCCAGTATACAAGTTTCATTAAAATCTGTAACTAATGCTCCAAGAGCTTTTTCCAGTTCAAATTTCTGATAAGAGTTTTGAACAATAATACCCAAGTGATTTTATTGGTTACAATTTCAAAACAAACTCATAATTTAGCTTTATAATGATGCCTACCTCTTACAAATCAGGGCTGTTAATTGCGTGCTATCCATGCCATCACAACATACAACAAACAAAATAAGAAAGCAATATTAGGTTTTTAATTCCATTGTTTAAATAACAAACTAATTCAATTTTATACTATTAATGAATATTTCAACTAAGATCAAAATATGAATGATAATCATTGGAAACAAAAGTCTCTGCTGCAGATAAAATGAGCTTAAAACAATCTTTGGTTTTAAGAAATATCTCTGTCCAACAAATGTAACCCATTGCAGCCATAGTCATAGGCAAGTTAGTCACTTTCCAGGGTATGATTACTTCATATTTTGAATGATCATGTTGTCTAGGATACCGTGATACATTGGGTTCAACAATGGCTATATTTACACAAGAAAATCCATTTGATAAAACAACTATCACCAAGGGAGATGTCGGCATGTTGTCACAAAATTTGATTTGATCTCAACACATCAATTACATTTGATCACATGGGAGACCTTAGTACAAGCTACTTCTGAACAGCAGTGTTGCTATGGCCAAGGGAATATGTATTTACTATTTCCGAATATAGCCTGTAGTCCAGGTTCATGGAATAAAGATGGGTACAATCTATGGTCAAAACTCGTGATGTTACAGATGTGACCATCGAGATGTAGATATGTTTATGATGGCTTGAAATGTGTTGGAAGGGAGCTATTTGGAATTAATGAAACAATCACAAGAAAGACTTCACGAAAATTAACAAGTAATTTGTAGAGCAACATTGTATCCTGGGTTACATGTTATAGCATTTATATATGTAGATTTGATAAGAAGAACGGTGCAGAAAAAAAATGGGTCTAGGTCTAATGCATGATAAATGGTTGAGTGAAAGGCTGACGTGATCCAGGGCTATGCGGATAGACAGTTTACGGCCTCCCTTCTGAGTCCTGGTGAGAAATCTAATCACTGAGAAGACAAAAACTGACTGAACGCGGGGCTGAACATTTTGACAACATCCCAAATCAACCATCCATCGTCTCCCCAAGGTGACAATCAATCAAGAAATGGAAGAACTACCTACCCTAATATAGTAATCGAGAGCCAACAAGCTATACACCTTCTTACGGGTGGCAAAGCTCCAGGTGATGACACGATCCTATCTGAAATATACAAAGAAGGGGGCATAACTCTCACTCAAAGTCTCCACCAGCTGTTTCTACTTAAGTGGCAGCAAGAGGCGATTCCTCGGGAGGTTGCATGAAAGTTGCATCTATTATTCACCTGTACACGTGTAAAGTAAAAGGAACAGTCAATATTGCGACAACCACCGTTGCAAGGCGGGTCTTAGATTTGGCGAGGCCCTAAGCTACACAAAGACCAGGGCTCCCTACAAATCTTTGTGTTGAAAACATTCCTTTGCAGGCTAATTCTGCTTGACACAGTGCCTCAGTTCACATTAATCTCAACATCTTGTGGATACTCTTCTATTAATCTCAACATCTTGTGGATACTCTTCTATTAATCTCAACATCTTGTAGATACTCTTCTATTAATCTCAACATCTTGTGGATACTCTTCTATTAATCTCAACATCTTGTGGATACTCTTCTATTAATCTCAACATCTTGTGGATACTCTTCTATTAATCTCAACATCTTGTGGATACTCTTCTATTAATCTCAACATCTTGTGGATACTCTTCTATTAAAGTATCTTCTTCTTCTATATCCTAAGGGCCCACGATCAATTTATTGATCATTTTGGCTCCTATGCATGTAGATGGGATTTGCAATGTTTCTGTTACTGGTGGTGATGAGGAAATTATGCACTAGGGGTTTGAAGGCTTGAGGCAATAGACACAAATGTGTCTAGTGTTGTCGCCTCAACTGTTCCTACTGCTTGACGTAGCTGTACTTATGAAACTTCTAAATCAATGAAAAATGAAACATTTTTGCATCATAATGGTAGATTTTTGCCGCACTTTTTAAACTTGCCTCAAATTTAGTTTTGCATCACTCTACCCTTAGTGGGAGAGCAACGGAAAAGTTGCTTTTATAGAGGAAAAAATCAGCTTTCCCCTACCCTACCCCCACCCCAATAAATATATTTCACTTTCAGATGATGAAAAGGTGACCTTATGGCGCACATCATATAGTATCTAAAATATCTCGTATTTTTTTGTGAAACTAGTATTACTAAAATATTATGTAGCTATTTATTGATTTTTAATATATTATTATATCTTCAAGATTAGATCTGTTCTCGTGTATCTTTATGGTGCCCCGTGTCACATGATGTCATTTGCTTGCCTATGACTTAGTGGCTAATACGTGAATTTACGAAGATCCCTTGCCCCGGTCAACTTTTTTCGTTCTATGAGCTATCTTCACATGCCGCTAATTATCAGACTCCCCTCTTCTACTTTTTCGACTGAATGTCAGTGTCACTGCACCTTGGACTCTCGCCTTTCGCTATCATGTAGTCCTACCTTGATCGATCGTCCCAGAACAATGGATCAGAGCTAGGGCTGAGCCGGGTGCAGTTTTTTTTAACACTCCGGGGTTGGGGGTGGGGGGGTTGGACTTGACTCGGCGGGTTCGAGTTCGAGTGTAACCCAAAAACACACAAAAAAGTTACCCTCTCCAATAGTATAATATGTTCCAACCAATGGGGGAAACTGCATGGATAGAACCAGTAGGATCACAAAAATATTCAAGTTGAAGTTTGAAAGATTCAAAATAATAATTGTAATAGCTAATAATATAATCTAAACCCAGTGCTTCTCAACCTTTTTTGTGCAGCGACCCCATTAAACAATTTTATGCGAAGTGAGGCGACCCACAACCACGATTATAGGCCTACCTTGTAATTGAAAACCAGGTGTTGAACAGGAGGGAGGGGTAAAGCTTTTTTGTAGATAAAAAGTTTTTGGTTACTTCAATTTTGATAGGAGATGAAGGGAAGCAGGGATAAGGACTAAGAAGGGTGGAGTGTTCAGTAGAGGGGGCCCTGAAAGTCAATCGCCAGAAAATCTTTGATCAACTGACACACCTGGTTATAGTTTGGCGTGGAAGCTGCCGACACTATATATAGCTACAAAAAATAAAACTGTAATGTAGATATCACCAGCTAATTTAATATAAATAATTTGGCAATTTCTTTTCATCGAATAAAATGGGCGCGGTCCGCCTCTGGCAATACTTTTACTCTTGATATGGAGGGGCGGAATTTTCGGCCAACTGCATAGTTTGTTTGTGTAAGGGGGTGTGAAAAAATCTTGGCTTGCCTCTGGTGGTACTACCCCTAACTACGCCAATGACCACTGATCTTGTTAAGACAAATAATTACTCAGAAGTCACAAGAACTATTTATCATTTTCAGAACTTTGCTGTTTCATTCGCACAAATCGTTGGTCTGTTTTCTACTATTATTTATTTACTTCAGGTCAAATGTACAAGCATTATGTGAAACAGATGTACCGGTTCATGAACTATACTTAGCATGTTGTTCTCATTGGGTGGAACAACACTTGGTAGTGAAAGTCAGAAGATGCCTCTCTTCTTTTTTTTTTTTTAACCTTCTGGACCGGGCTCCGTTTATTATAAGAGAAGTGACCCGTGACCCCGACTTCGTGCCCCGGCACATGTAGAAAAATGACATTTGAATGCAGTAGATCAGCAAAAGGAACACACCAAAAACATATTATTTTAAAAAAATCAATATTTTATTTTGAACTTTTCGGGATTTTTGTGAGCCTTGTAATTAGCTTCAAAATGGGCCGTTTACTGATCGTCCATTCCAACATCATTTCAACTCAACATTTGATTTCTTGCTTGTTTTGATTTTCAAATTCAAAATAAGACATGTTCATTGTAATCTCAAGTTCATCGAAGAACAAAGAGTATGAGTTATAGTCAGGGAGGGAGGTCATTTGGGGAGGGCAAGGGACATTTTCCAACCCCCCCCCCCTGAATTTGTAGGAAAAAATGGTACTATGCATCAGTATCTAAGACAGGAGAAAAAAAATAAAACGTAGCAGGAACTTTAAACAAACAAAACAACTAACTATTCGATCATTAAAGTTAACAATAGACTACCTAAATCATAATATGACAAGTCTTATTTAAATTGCTATGGAACCTACTGTGGCGCCTCCAGTGATAAACAACTCAACAAGCCCGCCAAGTTTTAGTTTTGTCCCCATCCCCTCCCTCCTGAAAAAAACTGAAATCACGTACATGGTGAAAAAGTGAATAGCGAAAACTGAAATAGAAATTCCCTGGCTAATGCAGTTACTCACCCTCGGAGAGAGAGAGGGTGGGGGGGGGGAAGAGAGAGAAAGAAAGAGAGAGAGAGAGACTGCAATCGGGTTAGGTTGAAGGAAATGAGCGAAAACGAGTATAGGAAAATCTGAGAAATGGACGCAACAAACCAACGAACGTATCGGCAAGAAGCCTTCTTCTGCAAACAAAACACAACAGTAGAAACAATATAAAATAAACAGCTACAACGGCCACCCATAGATGACGTCACGCAAATTTGGTCGATCCCCCCCCTCCTCTCCATCACAAAAGTTAGCCCCCCCCCAACAAACCAACGAACGTATCGGCAAGAAGCCTTCTTCTGCAAACAAAACACAACAGTAGAAACAATATAAAATAAACAGCTACAACGGCCCCCCATAGATGACGTCACGCAAATTTGGTCGATCCCCCCCCTCCTCTCCATCACAAAAGTTAGCCCCCCCCCCCTCATCAAACTCCCGTTTCTACTTGTTTGGTTAATTCATCAAGTTCTTGTACACGTGGTAATACGTCGTACTAGCACTGAATCAACTCAAGGCATTCATCACAATCAATGTAACTTTAATATCTGATGATATACCCATGCTGTAAATTCTGTACACAG